CCGTCGCTAATAATACAGTGGTTATACCACTACTCAACGTGAGTTTCTTGACTCAAGTTATTCCGCAAGACATGTCTTTGGCCACCCTGTCTCCACTTGACAGCTGCAACGCTACTGGTTTGGACACCGATACTACATCCCCCTGTCTTGGCCGCAATTGTACTCTGCCTGCAGATGACATTAACAAGATGATTGCTTCCGACCTAACTGCAGTGCAAGCTGCCAGCCTCCGTAGTCTGTTAACATCATATAGAGACGTTTTCGACTTTGACCACCGCCCTCTCAGCCAGACAACTGCAGTGACTCACCGGATCAACACTGGTGATGCCAGTTCTATACGGCGGCGTCCATATCGCGTATCTCACAAGGAACGCCAAGTAATTCAAAATGAAGTGGATAAAATGATTACTAAAGACGTAATGGAACCCTCATCCAGCCCCTGGGCCTCCCCAGTCGTGCTCGTTGAGAAGAAGGATGGCAGCTGGCGCTTTTGCGTGGACTATCACCATTTAAGCAAAGTGACCCACAAAGATGTCTACCCTTTGCCTCGGATTGATGACGCCCTCGATTGCCTCCATGGTGCCCAATACTTTTCGTCTATCGACCTTCGGGCGAGCTATTGGCAAATTTTCGTTGACCCCATGAATCGTGAAAAAACCGCTTTCGTTACGCCCGACGGCCTCTACCAGTTCAAAGTCATGCCATTTAGACTGTGTAATGCGCCGGCAACTTTCGAGCGCATGATGGACTCCCTTCTCCGAGGATATAAGTGGTCCATATGCTTATGTTACTTAGGCGAAGTCATCGTCTTTTCTCCTACCTTTACAGCCATATAACACGTCTGTCAGCCGTTCTGGATGTTTTTAGAAGAGCTGCTCTCCTGCTCAATTCTGCAAAATGCCATTTCGGACGTCGCCAGATCACCATACTCGGCCACCTTGTCAGTGCCGATGGTGTTCAACCAGATCCCGAAAAGGTGCGAGCAGTACAACAATTTACTGAACTACGCTCAACCAAGGACGTTCGAAGTTTTGTAGGGCTATGTTCCTATTTTCGTCGATTTGTCCGCAACTTCGCCGACATCGCTCAACCGCTTACTGATCTCTTAAAGAAGGACGTTCCCTTCGCATGGGGTATAGAGCAAGCGGACGCCTTTTCGGCTCTTATCCATCTGCTGACTACGCCACCAATACTGGCCCATTTCAACCCAGCATCACTTACAGAGCTTCGGACCGATGCAGGTGGCCATGGAAAAAGAGCGGTCCTTGGCCAACGACAGCACGGGAAGGACCGCGTGATTGCTTATGCCAGTCGTCGTCTTTCACCTGCCGAACGGAAGTTCTCCATCACTGAGTGTGAATGTCTAGCTTTAGTGTGGGCCGTGGCGAAATTCAGGCCTTACTTTTATAGCCGAACTTTTTCCGTTGTTACGGACCATCACGCTCTTTGGTGGCTGTCATCGCTAAAGGACCCATCTGGACGTCTTGGACGCTGGGCGCTCCGTTGGCAAGAATACTCATTCGTGGTCCACTACAAGTCGGGACGCCTCCACACAGACGCAGACTGTTTGTCACGTTATCCAGTTGAAACGCCCGACTTGACAGGACTTGATTCAGACGCCTGCGTTCTCTCCATCCACGCTTTGGGTGATATCTCCACCGAACAACGACGTGACCCGTCGTTACTCTCCATCATCGAGCGTCTGACCTCTGCTCCAACAGAGCCTTCCGTTCGCCTGTTCGAACTGCACGACAACATTCTGTACCGTCGCAGCTTCAACGCTGATGGCCCGGAATTACTACTCGTGCTTCCCCATCACCTGCGTACCAGCGTTCACGAACAACTACATGACGTACCTACAGCCGGTCACCTAAGCGTCTCTCGTACCTACGATCGTGTGCGACGTCGCTTTTTCTGGCCCGGACTGTATCGTTCTGTGATTCGCTACGTCACTGCTTGTGACCACTGCCAACGCCGCAAGCACCCCTCTGTGGTACCGTCTGGCCTCCTACAGCCCATCGACATACCGACGGAACCATTCTTCTGTGTTGGCCTTGACCTGTTGGGCCCGTATCCTACGTCCACCTAAATGAGTTGCAGTCGCCTAAATGAGTTGCAGGAATCCTACGTCCACCTAAATGAGTTGCAGAAATAAATGAGTTGCAATCGCCACAGACTACGCCACACGCTTTGCCATCACTAAGGCACTGCCAACAAGCTGTTCCACTGACGTGGCTGACTTTCTCTTGTATGAAGTCATTCTTCATCACGGCGCTCCGCGGCAGCTGCTTACTGATCGAGGAAGGTACATTCTTTCACGTGTTGTGGATGACATTCTCCGCGCCTGATCCACTGAGCACAAGCTTACCACCGCTTATCATCCACAGACAAATAGATTGACCGAGCGTCTGAACCGAACGCTGACGTAGATGCTGTCAATGTACGTTTCGCCAGATCACCGTGACTGGGACAAAGCACTCCCCTTTGTCACATTCGCGTATAATTCTTCACGGCATGACACAGCTAGTTATTCGCCGTTTTATTTGCTATTTGGCTGACATCCAGCATTACCATTTGACACGCTCCTTCCTTCGCCTGCCCCCTTGTCTACTGAGTACGCCAGCGATGTCGTTTCTCGAGCCCATGCAGCCCGTCAGCTTGCCCGTGATCGGCTGCACTTGTCGCAAGCGCACCAAAAAGACCGCTATGACAATCGCCACCAAAGCGTGCACTTCTCGCCGGGGTCTCTGGTACTTCTCTGAACACCAAACCGCCAAGTCGGCTTATCAGAGAACCTATTATCACACTACCACGGCCTCTACAAAGTGTTACGACAACTTAGTGACGTGAGCTACGAGATCGCACCCCTAAACAATGCCTCTTCAACAACCTCACTTCAGACAGACGTTGTACACGTTTCCAGACTGAAACCGTATCACCCTCCTTGTTCGTCGCCGCCATACTAAGCGCCGTGACCACGCTTCCGCCGCAGGGGAGTGATGTTACGGTGCATCATCGACAGGAGCAAGCGTGGCACTTGGCCAAGATGAAGAAGACGCCTGTTCATTAGGCGCTTGCGCGAGAGGCAACTCAGACATCTACCCCGACATCACCCCGTCACAATGTGTATATATTATAAATTCTGTTGCTTGTTAAAAAATCCAATTGTTGTCATAGCTTCGGGATGACACTAATAATGCACAGTCTGTTAATGCATGGTTGAACAACTGCATGGTGGAACAACACTATGAACTAGCACCCCTTTTTATGTTTTTTTTTTCAATTGGTTTTTCCCTCTGTAGCGAAACCACCATTCATTGCTGATATGAAATCAGCAGCAAGTTTGCAGCGCCTTCACCTTTCAAGGTGACTACCGGCCTCTTGCTAATTGCTTTGAGGAGGAGGGCGTTATCTTGCCAGCAGTTCCATATCATCAATGGGGGCTTGTTTTGCTCACCGCGAGATGATGCGAAAAGAGACTGTGGTTGCTTTCACTCCAACTTCGGCGCACTGCCAGCGGCCGCTGGAGGGCGTATATAGGCCTCACGCTCCCGTCTTCCCATTCATAAATATTGACAGTGTACATGCATGCACGTATCTCCTAAATTGTTCGTCTCAACCTATTCAAAATTGCCAGTAATCAATATCGCAATTGTCAGTGAATGTTTACACAAAACATTAGGCCTAAGCACCACTCTCCCATATCATTACACTATCTAGTCACGGGAAAAAACCACGGACACGTCTGCCAGTTTTCGCTATGCGGGGCGACACCTTGAGGCAGTTTCGGGCTCTGAAGTGGTGTGTCAGAAGCATGCGCGGCCTAGTTGTTAAGCGCACCATGTCAGAGCCCGATACTGCCTCAAGGTTTCGCTCCGCAGAGGTGAAACCGGCTGCTCACGTACTCTACAGAGACGTGGCTGAGGCTGTACATATACCTGACAGAGACAGCTGCGGTTATATGGAATACACTATATAGATCTTTGCTGAATTGCGTCTGCTCGCTTAAATAAAACACTACAAGAAATGTTAAACGAGGTAAATACGCAAAGTTCCTGCGACTGTGTTGGCATAGTTGTTAATGTGCTCAATTGTACGCGAACACCATTGATTCGATCCCGATAGCAGCGATTGCACCTTGATGGAAGCGAAATACTAGAGGCGCGTGTTAGTGCACAAGCTTGTTTGGTCTAAGTGCATGTGAAAAACTCGAGGTGGTCTAAGTTTACGGAGCCCTCCACTATTAAATACCTCATAATGCCATTGTGGTTTTCAGCTAGAAAACTATAAAAAAATGTTCCTCATTTTAGTAATAGAGTTGCGAAGCACCGAGCTAGGTGAGCGAGAAGTTTCACCTTTATTGCAAGCTTATTTGCAGTGAATACATCATCCTCATGTTTCTTTTTTGGTAGCACTCTTTACATTGAAATAAAATATTTTCAAGTTGCCCTTGCAAGGGTATTTCAATTGATTGATATGTGGGGCTTAACATCCCAAGGCCATCATATGATTATAAGAGACGCAGTAGTGGCGGGCTCCTCTCCTTCCAAGGCGAATAAAACATGCTGGCAGAGAGTAACTATCTTGCTCACATGTACGAAAGAGAACTGCTTCGCCTAGAAAATGCAACCTTCAGACTTCGGTGCTCACTGTTTTCGAGTTTGCCCCGTTCCAACTGCTGCAGTATAGCCTCATGCTACATACGTTCAATGAACACAGGAGGACAACTGTATTTGGCATGAGGCGGCTGATGAATTATCTTGTTTATTGCGCAGTCAGAAGGGACCGCAATGCTCGATTCCCGCCGATAACATCGAAACCTTGAATAGCGAGCACTACGTTGTAAAGTAAGTAGCGATTAGTTTCATGTGATGTTCTTGAAACAGAGATGAGGGAAGTTAATAAAGTGCGGAGCTCATAGAATAAAGCTTACTTGTTATTCTCATCTCACTTATTTCCTGAAGATTGCCTGGGTAAATATTGACATTCCTTTTTTACAGGTTGAACGCTGACCATGACGGTCACGGCGCAGCAAAGAATTGCTCAAGTGATGAGGGTTACATAATGAGCAGCCCCCGAAGGAACGGGAATAACAGCTGTGCATTTTCCAACTGTAGCAAGAATGACATCGCCGACTTTTTGACGTAAGCTTCCCGGCAATACTCACAGTACATGTTTTGTTTTTTTATAGTTAAAAACTGCACATAAAGAAGAAAACTGATTGCAATCTGTTGCATTTTATTGCGAATCAAGATAATGTACATGACCTGAACCACAGTTGTTAAGCCCATAAACAAGGAGCATTTGCGCTTTCTGTTTAGGTGACAGAGTCGAAACAAAACAGTAATGTTCATCGACCTGACAATAAACCAGTTGTTCCAGGCTAGGCGAGCAACCATCAATTAGAAATGTTTTTAATGACAAAACAAAACATGCAGTCTTCCGCCTCCTTGTTAGACATATGCCCATGCCCATGTGCAAAATTGTTTTTTTAACAAAGGGATCCATTGGTGTGCTTACTGCATTCTGTTGTATATGTCAATTTTGCCGAAAAACTTCAGGTGTCGTGTTGCTTATACCAAATCTGACGGCTATTTTCTGAACCTAAATAAGGAGCAACAGATTTACATTGACACGATGAGTACTTCGACGAACACGAAAAAGAGTTAGTCCTTAGTAGGGATGTGGGAATAGTAAAGTTCGGAAACGAAAGGAAGTATAAATCAATAGTGATGACAGTGAATCAAACATGAATAGTAAATGAATAATGTAAAAATAATTTTTGAACAGAAAGTAGATCATTTTCAAAACAATTCTTGAAAGCAACATTTTATTTGAAACAGATATTCACAAAGTGTCACCAAAGAATATTCAGTTAGGTATGACCAAATGAATATACCACAATGGTATCGTATGGTATGGAAAAACTCTATTTAGGTCCATCGGGGCGAACTAGCGCATAGCGGGCCACTCCCACGTCGGGACAGATAGGCCTAACGTGTCCGCCACGTCGTGGGCTCGTTGGACTGCCCATAGCTGCGTCATTAAATTCATACTGCGTAGCGCAGCATACCACTTTGATGATGCAACGTTTTCAATCCGTAACGCAGGGCACCGCCAGAGAATATGATCTAAGCTGGCAAAGTCTGAGCAAGGCGCGCAAGTGTTTGACGTCTGAATTTCAGGGTAAATTTTGTGCAAGAGTGTAAGACTTGGGTATGCCCCGACCTGCAGGAGTCTGAGCGGTAATGCCTGAGGCTGGTTCAGTTTACTGTGCGGTTGCGGATACTTTCCCCTCCTCAGATAAAAGTTCTTGCAAAGTTCATTGTACGTCGTTGGAGGATATTTGTTTTCAGAACCTCGTCGTCACAATATACCACAATAAGGTAAACTGATATAAGCTATACTGCCGGGAATAGAGCTATGGTAATATTTTATGACTCTAGGTTCAAATACTGCGTTCACTAGCGCTATTAACGTCAGAGTTTGTCACTTCCTTTAAATTGGGACATAAAAACCAAACAATTTTCAACCAAACTCTAGAAATACAGCTAAATATATAATGAAGCAAGTCAAGCTACTATCCCAACATGGCCTGCGCACCGAAACCGTGCAACAATCCGCGTTTAAATCAATACATGCAAGAACAGTTTACGCAAATACAACACTTGCATCTGTTGTTAGGCATGAAGCTTCAGTTATTGCTAGGTGAAGACAAGAGCTGATCAACACGATACAGCTTCAACATAGTAAAACGTGAGCAAAAGGGGAGAGTTTAGTAGAGGTGGAAACGGGCATCGGGTTGCGCGAAAGATCGAGCCCGGCCCAGCCCGCGGGTCCTGCTCAGGCGGGCTGACGTCCTCTCATCTCTGACGCGGGGCGGGCTCGGGTTACATTGTTTTTCAGTCGGGCGGGTCATACTAGATGCAAATCCGAGTCAAGTCTAAAATGTAGACGCCGTGCTGGAAGTGTTTTCCACTCCGTAGCGCCTTCACCGCAGCCACCGCAACCCGTTTTTTTTGTGTTCTCTTTTGACATCGCTTCCTTAAACGCAAGGAAGAGAGTGAAGTCAGACAAGGTGAACTTTGTGATTATATGTACATTGAATATGTGGTACTAAAGTTCTAGAAGAAATAACAGTTTACATATTGTATGCTTGCTTTGTTCACGGAAGATATGTTGGCGATTCCGGCTGCCAGCTTCGTGCACCCGACGGACCTTCAGTCGATCGGGATATCTGACGTAGAAGCACCACACCTCATCAAAACTTGAACCATTTGACTGCTTAATTTTACACAACTTCCTCGGCCGCACTCATGATCGATACATATTGTCTCGAGTCAGGTCTGCTTCAACGCTTGGCTCTGCTCCTGCCCCGTTCAAATGTAATCGTTGCATAGAGTGACTGTTATTTGTAGTTTTCTTACGCTTAACTTTGATATGGTGAATGTGGAATGTCACATTATTAAAAACGTCATCTTGTCTCCGCAGCAAACATCATAACATGGAGCCGAACCAGGCCCATGATTTTATTTTTGAATAGAAGTGGGCGGAGGACGGGGGGGGGGGGCGGACTCGCAGTTTTCCAGCGTCGGTCTCGGTGCGCCTTCGACTACAGTCAGCGGGCCCGGCCGAGCTCGGGTTCTAAATTTCGGCCACACTACATCTCCACTTTTCAGAGGAAGCATGCGGCAATCAACATCATAAAAAGCATCAGTAGTCTCGTAAAAGGTTGGGCCGTGTGCGGATCACTACAGGATTTAAAAGAAGAAAAATAATCTTTAGCTGCTCCAAAGCTTTGTTTGTTTGGTGTTCTCCCCCCGTACGAATTACTCAAGCTATTTGGAAAATATTCGTTATTTTAAATATTTGCGGAAACACACAAAAATATAGTTCTTATTATTGGAGATCATTCTACAACACATCGCTGGGCGGCTCTCTTGACCATATTGTGAATATTCGTAAGAAGTACAAATAAGAATAATAAGAATAATAATAAAATAATAAGAAGAATAAGAATAAAATGTTTGTTGTTGGATTACTTTCCAAAACCACTATGTGATCATAAGGGACGCCGAACTGGAAAGCTCAAAAAAACTTTAATCGTCTGGTGCTCATAGTGGAGGATGGAACTATGTCCACTCGTAACATCTGGTGTGCGCTGACGTGCACCTAAGTTTAGGTACACAGGCTAGTGGCATTTCGACTCCTCTGAAACGCGGCTACCGCGTACAGAGCAGCTCACGCTTCCGAACGATTGTGTTTGTCCTGGAGCCACAGGTAGCATTTCCAGCTGCGTTCGTAACATTGCAAGCACTGCTATACACTGGAAACGTGAGCAAAAGGGGAGAGTTTAGTAGAGGTGGAAACGGGCATCGGGTTGCGCGAAAGATCGAGCCCGGCCCAGCCCGCGGGTCCTGCTCAGGCGGGCTGACGTCCTCTCATCTCTGACGCGGGGCGGGCTCGGGTTACATTGTTTTTCAGTCGGGCGGGTCATACTAGATGCAAATCCGAGTCAAGTCTAAAATGTAGACGCCGTGCTGGAAGTGTTTTCCACTCCGTAGCGCCTTCACCGCAGCCACCGCAACCCGTTTTTTTTTGTGTTCTCTTTTGACATCGCTTCCTTAAACGCAAGGAAGAGAGTGAAGTCAGACAAGGTGAACTTTGTGATTATATGTACATTGAATATGTGGTACTAAAGTTCTAGAAGAAATAACAGTTTACATATTGTATGCTTGCTTTGTTCACGGAAGATATGTTGGCGATTCCGGCTGCCAGCTTCGTGCACCCGACGGACCTTCAGTCGATCGGGATATCTGACGTAGAAGCACCACACTTCATCAAAACTTGAACCATTTGACTGCTTAATTTTACACAACTTCCTCGGCCGCACTCATGATCGATACATAATGTCTCGAGTCAGGTCTGCTTCAAAGCTTGGCTCTGCTCCTGCCCCGTTCAAATGTAATCGTTGCATAGAGAGACTGTTATTTGTAGTTTTCTTACGCTTAACTTTGATATGGTGAATGTGGAATGTCACATTATTAAAAACGTCATCTTGTCTCCGCAGCGAACATCATAACATGGAGCTGAACCAGGCCCATGACTTTATTTTTGAATAGAAGGGGGTGGAGGACGGGGGGGGGGGGGCGGACTCGCAGTTTTCCAGCGTCGGTCTCGGTGCGCCTTCGACTCAGTCAGCGGGCCCGGCCGAGCTCGGATTCTAAATTTCGGCCACACTACATCTCCACTTTTCAGAGGAAGCATGCGGCAATCAACATCATAAATAGCATCAGTAGTCTCGTAAAAGGTTGGGCCGTGTGCGGATCACTACAGGAATTAAAAGAAGAAAAATAATCTTTAGCTGCTCCAAAGCTTTGTTTGTTTTGGTGTTCTCCCCCCGTACGAATGACTCAAGCTAATCGGAAAATATTCGTTATTTAAATATTTTGCGGAAACACACACAAATCTAGTTCTTATTATTGGAGATCATTCTACAACACATGATGGGCGGCTCTCTTGACCATATTGTGAATATTCGTACGAGTACAAATAATAATAATAATAATAATAATAATAATAATAATAATAATAATAATAATAATGTTGTGTTATTTGTTGAGATTTTACTTTCCAAACCACTATGTGATCATAAGGGACGCCGAACTGGAAAGCTCAAAAAAACTTTAATCATCTGGTGCTCATAGTGGAGGATGGAACTATGTCCACTCGTAACATCTGGTGTGCGCTGACGTGCACCTAAGTTTAGGTACACAGGCTAGTGGCATTTCGACTCCTCTGAAACGCAGGCTACCGCGTACAGAGCTGCCCACGCTTCCGAACGATTGTGTTTGTCCTGGAGCCACAGGTAGCATTTCCAGCTGCGTTCGTAACATTGCAAGCACTGCTATACACTGGAAAATGAGAATTACTTCTGGGGTTAGAATATAATTATGAGTAAGTGATTGAAATCAGGGGAGTGAACATCGATTCACTCGTTTTATTGCTAGATGCTTGAACCAATCGACTTCGACACACATACTGTAAGCAAATACAAATATTTCTTGAAAAATATCTATATTTGACGTGAAACATCAATCATAGTATACAACCGTACTGCAACATATCCTTGCGTCGTTAGGACAAAACCTATACGCATCAATACTTGTCACATCTTGAGTCCGAAGTATTGTCGGGCCAAAACTATCCGCTAAACACGATGGAATTTTCGCCATGAATGAAACAGCAAAAAAAATTTCACAGTCAGCAGCTATTCTCTTTGCCTTTTTTGGAAAGATTTGCACATTATATATCTATCACTCTGCAGGTGGCGATATTCAAAATGTCTATTTCGAAAAGACGTATGCCACGTCATTTCTTTACCAAACAAGGCGGCAGACCTTCCAGGGGATGTTATAGATGGGCAAACATTCTGTAAGGAATACTACAGGGAACCCAGATACTCCAACTCCACTTATATAAAGGTGAGACGTGCGTCTTCTATATTCTTCTCAAATGATTTAAAGGTGAATCAATGACTTTTTTATCGGTGTGTGGTACCAAACTTTTGATAAAAAGTTGCAAAAAATACCATTGTTTGAAATGAACTATAGTTCGAATGAATGTATTCTTGGCACGCTATAATATACAAACTGAACGAGAAGTGTTATAACAAAAAAGAAGAGACGTGAATGGCCTCAATGCTAACCGGTTCAATCACACATGACAGAAATGGCTGCTTTATACAATCGCTATTTTTAAGTGTGACAACAATTTGAGTTTTTACACCACACTGGCAAATGATTAGCACTCACTGGTAGCACTACATGCGTGAATGAGAAGACAAATGTTATGGGGGGGGGGGGGGCTTTCAAAAAAGAACGTAAAATAAAGTGTCTCGGCCTACACAATTCGAAGTACACAATGGGCAAAGACAGTGCGAGAGGGTTAACACTGGCCACTGAGAGTGTCTTTACTTAGTCAATTTTATTCTTTCACAATGTAGCAACTTGCTTTCATGGCCGAAAAGTTACGTCGAGGATTCTAAATCGCTAATTTCATTCTAGCCGTTAGACCATGCTTAGTTAGGGCATTGTACATTTAGGCTACCAGCGTTGTAGCTTGGGGAGCCAGTGTAAAATGCATGAAAAAGCATACACGATGAGAACATCGACGCTTATACCATCGTACAGCATACTTTGCGAAGCTGTGCAATGTCAGTGCATGATAAAGAACACCAGATGGCAGAAATTTTGGAGCCTTCCTTAACGACGTCTCTCAAAATCATCTCGTGGTTTTGCGACGTAAAGCTCCAGATAATATTATTAAGATTATAAAGACGATGGTAATATCCGGCAGGCTACCTGGCACAGGTTTGAGAAAACAGACATGCAAAAAAAGAGAGAGGTGTAAACCACACCAAGCGGGTAAATCGTAATCTCGGATTTCCTCTTGCACGTGTAAAAAATGCCAATTGAGATAAAATATGTCCGCATGTATGGAAGGCTTTCTCAAAAGATTTTTCAGAAGCTCCAAAGTAAGACCATCACTTTGCATTTTGGATTCTGAATGACTGTGGAATCAAGAGAAATCAAATGGCAGATGTGTTGGCAAATGCAGGTGATCATTGTACTGAACCCGCCTCTATTAGATATACAATAGCTATGTGACATACACCAATTCTACATCAGCGAAACGTAAATTGTACTCATATACACCTCGTTTTCAGGGAGCATAAAGGACTGGATATTTTAGGTTGTCGACCCATATCTTCAGCGCCGATTAGACTTTCAGCTACCAAGACATATTGACAATTGTATCGCCTGAGAGTCGAAACTGCTAAGATAAATCCTTTTTTATTTGGGGTTCACCATGCACAATCTTAAACCTATGCTTTTGTGGCTACGACAACGAGGATGTGAACTACGTGCTGCTTGGCTGTCGAAAACACCACCTTAGGTTTTAGCCCGGTGATGGCGTCCCATTAACAGAGTTTATTGGCAGAATGTTGAATCTCATACAAACCAGGAAGGTTTAATGTAGAGAGTGACAATTCGTGAATGGCGTAGAAAGCTGGGCTACCTATACGGTTTAAAAATAGCACGAGAGAAGGAGGGTAGCTACGAGGGTATACCTACCATTTGGTCCCGCGTTGATACACAGTGAACTTGACTGGGTCTTTTGGGGGGTGGCTACCCACTCCGTCCTAGTAGGCGGTACCTTCTTCAAATCCTTCTGGTATTGTATATGTGGTCAAAGAAGGGTGCGCACTTACGAATGCGTTCCACAGGCTTCATGAGCTAGTAGACTGTGCAGGCATGTGCGTGAGGTGCGAGTGCAGAATCTTTATCGTGTTTCCAAGAAAGCGATGACTTGTTCTTCTTCATGACCCACCGAATAAAAATAAATAACGACCGACTACATTGTGGGCAATCACCATTGCTTTTAGCCCCATAAAGTCCACTTTTAGGCCCAAAAAAATGCTCCTAATGGCATGGGGAGAAGAGACCCTGATATAAAGTGCATGCGTACAATGACACTCCACGTAGGTTGTGCCAGACCTTTATGCGATGTACTCCCCGTCTTCTGAGCCCATTAGGCGTAGCTTGTTTTATTTTCCGGTAATACATTAGTGTTAGCTGGCTACAAGCAACAATAAAAAAGAACAAGAAACTCTTGTGCATTCTTCATGGTTTTCTAGGTAAAATTTGATTTGCAAGAAGTGATGGCTACGTTCGTGTTCCGTTACATCGCGAACTTTGTGAAACCGAGATCAGAATTTTTCCGTCCTTCTAAAGATGTTCGAATATGAAGGGCTCCATGTCACGGCAATGCAGGACAGGTAGACGGAACCCGGATGATAAATAGATAAATTGTGCTGGCGGAGCAGCAATGTTTTGAAAACACAATCAGTGCTTCCTGTCAAATAAAGCCTGATATACAAAAGAAATGCTGCCGCCCGTAGGCTGGCCTTAGCTCGGCATATTCACTCATGAGTACACTCACTCACACTCATTCATACTCATTTGAACATGGTGAGTGTGAGTATGAGTGAGTACTTATGAGTATAAGTAGGAGTGAGTAGAACGTGAGTGAGTACTCATGAGTATTAGTAAGAGTGAGTATGGACGTGAATGAGTACTTCAGTGTGAGTAGAAGTGTGTATGAACGTGAGTGGGTGCTGATGAGTGCGAGTAGGAGTGAGTATGTACGTGATGAGTATTCTGAGTGTGAACAGGAGTGAGTATGAACGTGAGTGACTACCCTGAGTGTGAGTATAAGTGAGTATGAATGTGAGTGAGTACTCTGAGCATGAGTAGAATTGAGTATGAACGTGAGTGAGTAGTGTGAGTGTGAGTAAAAATGAGTATGAACGTGAGTGAGTACTTTGAGTGTGAGTATGAGTAAGTATGAACGTGAGTGAGTACTCATGAGTGTGAGTATCCGTGAGTATGAACGTGAGTGAGTATTCATCAGTGTGAGCAGGAATGAGTGAGAGCTTGTGAGTGTGAGTAAAAGTGATTATGAACGTTAGTGAGTACTCAGAGTGTGATAAGGAGAGAGTATGAACGTGAGTGAGTACTCATGAGTGAGAGTAGGAGTTTGAACATGAGTGAGTACTGGTGAGTGTGAGTATTCGTTAGTATGAACGTGAGTGAGTATTCATGAGTGTGATTAGGAGTGAGTGAGAGCTCATGAATGTGAGGTAGGACTAAGTACGAACATGGCTGAGTACTCATGAGTGTGAGTAGACTTGACTGCGAAGGTGAGGTGAGTTGCTGTGAGTGTGAGTAGCAACGAGTAGGAACATGAGTGAGTTACTATGAGTGTGATAAATATTTGTAACCATCGCAACGGCGTCCTCAATACGTTGGAAACAACGGGCACTATGGCACGCAAGCTTCGTGTGCGTAAAAGTGTTCACATTTAGTTTGGAAACTGGGGGAGCCATCCTACATCAGATGGGGGGGGGGGGCGACATGACCGCGGAAAACTCGAGTTGAGAGTAGCCGTCTATTTTATTGTAATTTGAATTTTCTAGGCGAATACCTTTGAGCTGCCTGTCTCTATAGCTACCGTTCTTGCTGCACTTACCTCTTGCGCCTTCCGTCTACGCAACGCGCTGATAATACATGTAAAACAACAAGGTCTTGAGAAGCCCTTTACGAAAATCGCCGCGCGAGCCAGTTCAAAAAAAAAGAAATGCACTGCGCAAGTGACAGAAAAAAAAAACACGCTGAAATGGCCCACGAGAGAAAGCACATTGTGTGCGCTGCGCACATTGTGCGCAGCGATTTTGCAGTTCCTACCTCTGCGTTGTCCCCTCAAGTGAAGGTTGCCTTGAACGAAAACCTTAAGTGATCTCATGACCTCTCAAGCGCGAAGCTGTGTGCAAACTTCGCCTTCCCAGTGCCCCATTAAGAAAAAAAAGGAAAGCTTAGAGGACGGTTGAGCTTCGCCGTCAATAGTATAGTATGCGATAGCGTAATCGGACCCTGTTCGCATCGCCGTTTCAATCTCTACCCTCGCTTCACTTTTCGGCGGCTTATTATGCCTTCAACAGTGCAGATACAATGTGCAATAAGCGCCCAATCACCCTTGATAATTTATTCTATCATTCACATAACGCGGGCTAGTACAAAAACACACATAACACAACTCGTTATTTACCTTTTCATTCGGCTGTCCGCGATAACCCTGCGTACTCACACTTCCAATGAACCTTAACCACGTCCGCAGATTCATAAATAAGGCCCCCCCCAATCGTCAGTGTGGGCACGGAGTCAACGAAGTCTCCGCGTGAGCGCAACCTACAGAGGAAGAAAAACATCTCCGAAGATGCGCACAACTTCTCGAATGCAAAACTGCCGTACGCAACCCATTCCATCTGAAGGCGAGGCAGAGAGGTGAAGCGCCGTCTCGACGGTCGCGCCGGGCCACAGAACACCTATCAGTGGCCGGGCGGCCGGGGTGGCCGTGGCGCCGACGTGGCGGCGAGACCCCGGCGCCCGCCTGTCCCGCTAGTGCAGTCAGAAGGGGCTAGGGGCAGTGGAGCGAACGAAGCGGCCAAGCCGGATGGCATGGCAACGTCTTGGGTTCTGGCGTGGGGTAATCATAGCGGCGGCCGTGTAGTATACTGAAACTGTCGAGAGCGTCTGTATTTCGCGCGCGTGCGTCGTAGCCTAAGAAAGCGCGTTTTGAGTGCTTGTAACACATTACTGACATTCTAAACGAGTGTCTCAGCGTCTCCTACGCGTCATGGCACACAAATGAATGTGCAGGTGCGTCGTAATTGCGCTGAGTATTGCCTCTTTGTGGAGCCTATCGACCCTAAGCAGAAAGCGACAATTGTTCAGCTCGATTGTTTCTTGAGTAAGCTGAGTACACGTAATGCAACCTCAATGTTATTATTGATCATCGGGCCTGACAATGTCCACTGCAGGACAAAGGCCTCTCCATGATTCACCACTCGACTCTGTCCTGT